CGGACTCGGGAAATCAAAATAAAACTAGTGATAACAAGGCGCTCTGATTGTTTTTGTTGTAGAATATGTTAGGGGATATATTCGCACGTTATAGAAACGAAAATGATGGTGTATAAACTTAATTTTAAGATACAAAATAGATGATAAAGAATTAACTTGACAGAGCTCAAACTCAAAACACACGGCAGCAACAAACAGGAAGTGACGTCTGTGCTGTGGTGAATAATTAAGCGAAGCATCTTCTGATAGGATAAGAACACGCAGTCTCATGAATAATTATGAGACACCAACGCGTCAACAAAGTATGGAAGGCAGACGGGGCCAAAACACTGTAAATGGAACACGTGAAATTTGACCGTGTCAACACGCACAGTTTGACCACTAAGGCGGAAATTTTGAACGTGTTTCTTTAAAATGTGTAGACATGCACATTCTGACCGTAATGGCAGCAATTTTGAACGTGTAATATTTTTTAAGGCATTACACTCTATTTACTCTCCTATTAATACTTTCTTTAGTTTATAGTGTAATTAAGTAGTGTTGTATAGCTATCTTCTGTACTAAAGTAAATTAATAAATGTAATGAGATGAGAAATGTAAAGAGTTTTGTTGTTTATTTTCTTTTGATAGGGTATTACTCTTACCCCCAGGTCAATGTACCTTCTGGTCATTTGAACAAAAATTAAACTAGATTTTTCATTTTTTTTTCATGGGTAAAAAATTAGATTGTGCTTTAATATTTGTTTCAAATGTGTGAGCGTCCCTTTCGTCCTCCATCTTCTGTACTACACCATGTATGCGACAACTGCAAGCTCAGTTTATTTTCAGTAGGACAGAGGCAGCAGGCGAACCAAGCTTACAAGAATCCTGTGGCTTTGTCATGTAGGCTGCTAGCGGTGCTTACAAGATTAAAAATAATAATAATCAAATAAAATAAAGCATATTTTCTATATTTTCACGGCTGCTGCATGTTATTGACAAAACAGAAATAACTTTATACATAACCAGTAAAACAGCATTTGACTTTTAGTCTACTGAATGTGATCTAAAATGACATGGAATAAAATATGATACTTGCGGTTGCTGATTTTAGCTGTTCATTTTATTCTAGGCCTATTTAAGAAAAACCTCACAGGTAACAAGTTTTAATTTGCTATTACAAACAACAGCAATTGAAGCTATACATCGAGTACAGAATGCAACAAGTAGGCTACTGCACTTTTTTTTTTTTGGAGTTTCGGTTCACAAAAATTATCCAAGACTCAGCGAATACTTGGCTTATCATAGACATAAGAAACATGTCTATAGAATGCTTGAAATGTTCATTTTGAATTAAACAATTATTTTCTGTTTATGTAATTCGTATGAAACCATCTGAGCTCATTGTCTGTAATGTGGTCACACCCACGCACAGCACATGCTTTCATCCAAGGAATAATGCTGAGGAATAAACCTTGCATTTACCTCAGAAGAAGAATGCAATGCGACGCATGGCTTGATTCTGTGGAGGATATCATTTCTGTTAAGAAAATCATTCATTCTTATTTTTACATTAGCTACATAAACTTGCACTTATTTACTAGTTCATAATTCAAGACAATGTGGGGAATTATTACAGTGAAAACATAAGCAAAAATGTATAATAAATAATAATATCATAATACTTATTTTATAATATAAATATATAAATAATGCTTATTATTTTATGTTTTTTTTTTCTGTCAGAAAAGCCTGCATTGCCCAGTGCCTATGTATACAAACAATAATACAATTATTATTATAAAAAATAATAAAAAAAATACAATATTTTTTTTCCACAAGCAGTTTCATATCTTTATATTGGTTTAACTAGTGGCTGGAAGGTGTCGTTCTCAAGAGTCCTGGAGCATTGTGTGAAATGCATGGCAATTATTGCTCAACCTTCTGATAGTTCTCTTAGGAGTGAAATCATAAATTTTTTCATGATATCTGAAATTTTGTCACAATCCTTTTTTTTTTTTTTTTTTTTATTTTTTTTTAATTTTATGGTATATATTTTTTTCTTTTTCACTTTTTCTTTATTAGTACTGGTATTATTACTTTTATAGTTAACATTGTTACTATTCTATATTATTATTAGCATTGTTATTGTTACGGTTGTTTTTGTTTTGTTTTGCTCTCTGAAAAGCCTCCCGTGGACTGGTGTTGAAAATTAGCATGTGTGCTAAAACATTGCG